CTATCGGTAGTGTTGATCTTTGATAAATAAATATGAAAACTGTTACATACAACAACGAATCGGCGCATCAGATTGTTCCTTTATTAAGTTCGTCACGTCAATTAATTGATGTTTTCCGGTTGTTGCGTATACACAAGTCTTCGTTATTTTTCACGATGGAGCAACAGGGTGCATCGTTCATTAATCTTACGCCACTGCACATTATGGTATATGGCCATTTATGGAATGCCCCACCATACTACAACGAACATATTTTTCAAAGTATCTGCTCAATCCTTCTAATCACATTGAAAAATCTGCGGGCAATAAATCCTGTTCGTCGTTGAATCGTTTGTTTTTTTTTTTCTCCCGACTTATAGTTTTCTTACTCATTCTTCTTTCTTTGTTACTCGACGCGACATGCCTTTCTTCAGCTGAATGATTGTTCAGTTATTCGTTCTTTCATCACCGGCTACGAATCCGCGTTCACTTTTTCCTACCTGATACATCCCAACGATAATTGACGAGGACTTTCCGATATATGAATTTCAAAGTCGTTGTCGTTATCGGCACACGCCAGTTAACGGTACTTCTTCGTACGAGACAAGAATATCTTTGTCGCTACAATCTAATTGACTGGATCGTCTAACCGATTCATAATTCTCCCTTGTGTAAACCTTACTGGTTGACTAATTCATTTGCATTTTTCACGGCCGCAGCCACCAGCTCCAAACTCTTTTTCGAGAACGTTAAAATAAACGGCTGGACAGGTTCGTTTACTTCGCGACACCGATTAATCCTTTCCCGCTCTATGCAATTGGGAAAAGCAATTGGAAATATCGATACAGGGTGGTTCGCGATCGCGGAACATTTATGAAAACAAATCGTTTCCGTTCAATGTAAAAAAATCACTAGGTAAATAAGTCTGCGCTTAACGCAACATTCTACGTTTAACACACTGAATCCAGGTCGAATTATTTATTACGAAGGAACGTAGCCCCAATGAGAATTTGAATCTTCGGAAAATCGTTTAACCTTCGCACGGCGCGCAACGGACATTAAGTACAAGAAGAGAATAATTATGTGGTTGTATATAATAATAATATTTGTAAATATGTTTCCATTTTAATTGCTATATCAATTTGCTTCTGTATACGTAGGAAGAGAAATGTATTATTGAATTAAGACCTGATCATCAAGCATATGCGTGAGAGTATAAAAATTACTCGCTATCCCTGGAAGTTAAGATCAAGCTTGATAAACTCATGGAATATTTTATAAAATAATGAACGTGAAATTACGTGAAAGAAGGGGATGATTGTATCATGTAGTGAAATATTGAATCTCGTTCGCAAATCTTGTACGATCGAGATTATTGAAAAATACATATCTTGGGGATTGATCTTTTCTCTGAGCAGACATTTCCCTTCCATCTCAGAGACCTTGCCATTGATCCGCCATAATGTGAATGAACGAAATTAACCAGGAAATAAGTCCAAGGATCTGTTCGACTCAGGAAGCCGCTATCTCCGTGACGAATGACTTTCATGTAAATCGAAGTCGAAGCCCTCGAAAGCCTTCCGTTTCCGATTACGACTGACCTTACAATGGTAACAAGATTCCCTTCTTTTATTCTCGTTCTTTTCCTCTCTCTCTCTCTCTCTCTGTTCCTCACTCCAGTGCTTAGGTATGTAAATAATGCGAGTTACCTAGATCTCGAGTATCAAGAATTACTTAGTTTGTCTCTCTAGAACGAGATCGGAAATTAAGATCCTTATTTGTATTCTAATCAGTTATTGTAACTAGATTATAACGAATCAAACGACGCATATGACTGTACACGTTGCGTATGATATGTAATCGATGATAATTAGTTTAACAGGATAGTGACGATGTTTCTAATAGTTTAGTAAAAAAAAAAGGAAAATAGAGAAGTATAATTCACGTGATAACAAAGACTTATCATTGTCTTATAAATTTATTGAGCAAAAAAGACAATTATCCATGCACGGAAAAAATATCAGTTTTTGTTTTGATCGACTGAACTGAGAAAAATTTTGCGAAAGTTTGACTCGGGAAAACATAAAATATCCTCGATTACATGACGAACGATCAATAATATTTTTATTGCGCTAGCCTAATTACCCGATACGTATGATTAGATTAATTCTCCAGATTATTATCTCATTGCATAATGAAATCATCAAATCCACCGAAGCTCCGACGAGATCTCTCCTCCTGTCATTTTTCTTTTTTTCTTTTTGTTTCTTTGTTACATCGATACCGTGAATCAGCTGCTCATTAATTTCCCTTCTAGTTTTATGATCTCCTCATCGTCCTTTAAAGTGATTTGCGTCCGACAACGTAAATCAAACGTGATGATAACGCTTGCACAGAGAAACAGAGAAACGAAAGACGGACTCGGAGGGAATGATGGAGAGTCGCCGAGTCGTGGATGAATTGCTCAACGCCTTTCGAGTGCAAAACTATATCACGTAATACTGATGTAATACGAAACAATTCAAACAATAGATCGTATTGCGGTCGTAGGAACTTCTCTGTCAGACCGAGGACAATTAATCTGCATCGTCGGTGATTTCGAATTGTAATTTCATGAACGCTGATTCGGTTGCATCGGTCGATCCAACAAAAATTATATCCAATTATCTAAGAGTGACGGAATCGTTGTTTGAAGATACGAGCACGAACGTCCCTCCATTTTCATCTTACGTATGTCTATATGATCGACAAATTGTCATTTCACGGTTAAAAAATATCGCTATCGCGATAAATGTCACGATGATATAGTGAGAGCCACGATATAACAAGGTTACAAAGACGCTGGTACTTCAACCTTGCTGGTACTTTAATCAATTGTATTTTCTGAAACTTGAGGAAAGAATTTGTCGTTTTTTTCATTTTCACTTTATTCGTGAATAATTTATTTTTATTTTCACTAGATTTTTTTCGACCAAAAAAAGATATTTTGATCATATTTGAGATGTTTCTTAACAATAGGGGGAATTCGAAAGAACTTAAAAGAATTAATCACAAATTATCGTTCAATCAGAATCGTAAAATTTGTATTTAAACGCCACGAGATCGATAAGTGCTGGTTCTTGATATTATTTTATATATTATTTTATGATTTAGGATGCGTGCTCGGTACTATACGATTTCGTAAAATTACGTTGTTCACAGAGGCAAAGCCTCGAGACAAGACGCGTATGCTGTAATACTTGCCGATTTCTGCGCACAAAACAATCGGATAATCAATTGCGAATCCATGTTTGTTAGCGAGGAGCCAAGAGAAGGAAGAAATCGTGACAAAGCCGCTGTGGATGTCGCATCAATTCGCGATTTAATTTTCTATGATAATTCGTAATCCCGGCATTAAGCAAGCAGATTGAAATTGGAGAACGAACGAACGTCACGTTTCTGATTTTTTTTTCTTATTCCGTCGCCTTCCGTTCTTTTAATTAGGATTAGAACAATGGCAAGGCGATTTGTTTCTTCCCCTGGCATGTCGTCAAATTTGCTATTCGTACGAAACATTACGAATAGGAAAAATAAATTTTAATTTAGGGAACATCACCGCTGTTTTCTCACATGACGAAACGAAATACATATGTTTGTTACGTGATCCTATTAACACGACGATTAACTCGATAACCATCGTCTTGGTATCGAGGCTGAAAAAATAGTAAGGTAAAAAAAAAAAAAAAACAGAGATAAAGAAAAAAATGAGAGGAATTTCCGGAAAACGGACACCGTATCAGGTTTCGTTTCGTATTATTATGCAATCCGAATACACCAGCGATAGAAACGTAAACTATGTTATAACATTACAAATAACACGTAATCACTTGTAACCACATCTCTTATTTTTTAGAAGAATCAGCGATTTTTCATATGTCTTAAGCACAGGATGTATTACTTGCCGATCACAAAGAATAATTTAGAATCCGATACAATTTCCAGTGAGAACCAAAGTCTCGCTTTTTTTTTATAGTATTTTGAAGCTGATGACAATTTCAATGTCCAATAATATTCCAGTGTCTTAATAGTGTCGTAAATCGTTACTTTGTTATTGCTACGTTACATTTCTAACGATGGAAGTGGAATATGCATTGATACCTAAGTGTGATATCTAAATATTTAAAAATCTAATAAGATATGTAAAAACTCAATAATGTAAAGACAACATAAATCGATAACATATAATTTGCACATGATGAATAATTCACAAGAAACATGTAACTTGTATTCATTCGGTATTAATTTCCTCTTTTTTTGTTACATTATTACATGCCAATCAATAAAATACGATCATAAATTACACAATCTATCAATACATCTCGATCCCATTCAAGCTGTTTGAATTTTCTTTGCGTTGTTTTTAAAGAGACAATACTTTATAAATATTAAACCTGTATTGTACTGACGATAAAACGTAGTTTACCAGCGACAATCTCCCAAATGTTCACGAATTTTTCACAAATGTTTCATGTTTGCTAACGCGCCCATTTCATTGCATAATAAATGAGCTCAAACTTGCATAATTATTTAATTAATTATCATCGCGTAATTACTGCAACATTATTAAACTATGATTCTGATAACGTTCGTTACAATGTGGCAAACACTTGTTTAATAGGATAACACAGTTTTTTCCATCAAAAGGAGCGCAATGTAATCTATACTAACAATCGACGATTATTTTTACGATCACGAGAAACATTTAAGAAATCAGATGAATTCTGGTGGAAAGGATTTACTGAAACCATCAAGTTTATTCCGACCATTCAAATTGCCGAGTAAACGCTTTCTAATCTGTACAGTGGAATGAAACTTTCTCTTAAAGTCAAACATGATCGTTTAACAAAATCGTAATGATCGTTAAAATACCAATTTCATGATCTTAATCATCCACAGATTCGAATAACTCTTAATGTCTAATTAATTTATTATTTATCTAATAATTTTTTATTTTATTTGATTAGTAAATCAAATTAGATTCTTCAGGATGTCTTATGATCAATAATGCACGAGACGAAATTTGATTTTAATAAAAACAAGGTACTTACATTTACATCCTTATGTGTGATATTTTATTAAAGAGTAATTGATATGAGTTGTGGAAATGCAACATTGGTGGTATCCATATTATTCCAGATTAAATTTATTAAGGTAGAAGGAAGTATGGTTGATGATGGAATTTTCAAAGGATGGTCTGCTGCTTTTGATTTTTCTACTAAAATAGGATAAAGTTAAGTTTATTTGAGTCATGCTGAATAACTTTCTTTGTGATTTGATTACGAATCAGATTTTTTATATTTTTATATTGTATATACTTACGTTATACGTTAATTACGCTCAATTATGTTAATTACACTGTGACGCAACCTTCATTTTTCAAAAAAAAAATTTATTCTACTATTCAGTTGTACTTGTTACAATTAGTAATACGTGTACGTTATTTTGTTTCTACGTTATTTTGTTGTTTGTTGTTTATTAATTCTTGCATAATACATTCTTTTCAAGCTGAAATAATCTTTTCACAGAGTTGTTCATAATATATTTTCCTGCAGGGCCTAAAATATACGAAACTTGATGGGTTGCATCGCATAATTGCAAATATAATATAATAATCGTGCATTGTGTATAATATATAATTATGTACTTGCTTGCCATGAATCAATAAAAAGACAATTAAAGCATGACGAATTATCAGCAGTATTTTGCTTTTTTTTTTGATGCATAATGAACAAAAATGATTAAATGAGTCAGATTACTTCGCTTTTAATATTTTTTGCTCGTAAGAGGTAAACATATTCATATTTAGTAAAAGAATGTTGAGCAATCGTAATTTAAAATATATCACATTCACATAACGCTAAACGAGATTCGTATATATGTGTGTATGTGTTTTGCGGAAATTTTATAGGATTCAACATGAAGAGCAGGTCGGGATTGAACGTAGAAGTAATTACATAACATGAGACAATTGAGTTTCACGTGATGCGCGGGTAATTGACATGGGGGAGAAAAAGAAAATGACTCGCGAGAATAATTGTAGATCGATTCGCGTGAGGAAGTAGCTGGAAGCGACGACGAGTCGCAGAAATTGCATATGCACATACAAAGTCCTCCGCGACCCGTCTTCCTATTATCGTAGAAGAGAACGCCGAAGCATTATGCAAGATATCGCGATCTAGCCTTGACAATGACCACTAACTATGAGTTGCGTTGGTACCGCCGTACGTAGGACTGTATCATTAACTTGAATAATGGTCTGTTATTTGTGACTACTGATCCACCTCTGGACTTCTTAACACTACTTAGGAGAAAGAATGTTCCTGAAAAATAAACAACTATAATTTTTCACTTCACTAACGCGATGTTCATTACATTAATTTCCATGATGTGCTAATAACATGTACATGTACAATCGGGAGGAGTGATATCTATTCAGATAACAAAAATGTCAATATATAAATGATCTTCATAGTAAGAACAATTGTAAAAGATTGAGAAACCATATTATTTATTAACTATATTATTATTTAACATATTATTTTGTACAAGTATCTAATAACTTTGGATTTCAATTATCTCATGGTGATGTTATATGAAACTTGATAGTGTAATTATATGTATTCATTATGTGGAGAGCCCAGAATTCAATTTGTAAATCATCTTTCGTTAAGAATAATTTATGCCTTGCAAATATAGTTTTGCTATTAAAATTATCAGTCGACGTTTAGTTAATATAATATAATCATGATATTATAATGAAACTGTCCCTTGGATCTTTGTATCGCACAAATCACTTTCAATGAAAAATACACTGGCTCTGAGCCTTTCATGTATATAGATTGACTTTGAAAACTATTTAAACAGCAATATAATTTTTCAAATAAAAACCTTAATTTATATGTTAATTAATCCTCTTGTACTTGCAATTTGAATCCCAATATTGAAATGAAAGAAAGGAATTATTTGTTTTCAAGGCGTTAATTTCTTTTACTAAAGAAAAAATATTGAAATGAAAGGAAAATATTTTTATACTGTAATTTTTAATTTTTATTCCCACAAGATATGAGAACTAGGATAGGATAAAATGATACAAGAAAATAATATCAATATAACAAAATCTGGGACTCCTCATACGAAATCCTAAAAACTGACATATCGAGAAATTTAGATTCTTCTACTGGCGTTTAAGCCTATTGTATTACGATAATTATTTAATGAATGTATTTAATCCGCACCTTATTATTTCAAGTAATATTTATTTATCACAGTGTACAAATTATACTATTAAATGGAATTTTTCATTAAACTATTTTTCAACTTGCCATTTAATCCTTTGTGATCCTACGTCCAATACAACCATTTTATTAGATCCAATGTTTGTAGTCTGTCTGGATAATGATTTCATCCTAATAGATCCATTATGAAAATAGATACGAATCTATCGAATAGCAATTTGAAAATAATTACAGACCGCAAAGAATTAATAAAATAAACTTTGAATTCAAAATTTCATTACTGTATCATTGATAGAAGTTTGTAGCAACATCTACTGTTTCTATATAGCAAGCGAGAAAAAAAACAGAATATCGGCAGATACAGTAGGATAGTATGCTATATTACAGTACTATTACTACAAACGACTGTCTTTAATCAATAACATAATGCTTTTTGATATTTCACCAATGATTTTACCACATAAACAAAGGTCGAAAAATATACATAAAATCTATGGACTTATTCCGTTTTCGTCAATGAAATGAGGAATATGTTATAGCTGAGTGCTAAAATGCTAAAGTAAAGCATATACACGATAGTCAGCCATAAGAATTGGAAAACATATTTTTAAATACACAATACAAAATTATATTGAATATTAAATCTATGTTATATTTTATCAAAGTGAATTACAGAATCCTATGTGTATTATGCTTAAAAAATCATTGACTTAGATCAATTGCATGTTGATGAGCTTTTATTACTTTTATTGAATTCTCTATGTTAAATTTATTTTATTTCTAATTTATAATAGTTACATATTACTTACAAAATATTAAATATTCTTTTATTTTACTTTCTCATCTATAAATTTCCGTAATTCTATTAAATTATATTCATTACTACGAACATAGGACCAATATCTATAGTCGTGATGTTCCTTCATTAACTGTTCTATCTGTCTTTCCAGGCCAAGCAATTGTCTCTTAACATTAGCAACATGTGTCTTATGAAGTAACTTTTCATATTCCATCTGTATATTTGGATAAAAGTATCTTGAAAAAAATCTTACAACAGGGGTCTGCAAAAAGAAATATTGATTTTATACATATAAACTTTGATCTAATAATATGTTTAAAAATGTTTTTTAAATGTTGTATTACCCTATAATACTCCCATTGCTTTGGAATATATCCTTCTGGTATTTCTTGTAATGTTGCTGGACCTATAAATACATTCATGTAAAAAATAAACATAGCAACAGGTATCGCACCCACAAAAAAATAAAAGTGCATCCAATCTTTAGTTTTATGCCATTGCCATCGACTTGGAGCTATATCCATTGAATGATGTTCTGACATGCATCTCATTGATTCTAAAAATAACAAAAATTAATTTTTATGAAACAATTATCTAAACATTTTCAAATATGTCTAAATATTAAATTATCTCAAAAGTTTCTTTTGTTTTATTATAAATAAATAATGAATGTATTGTGTAATACTTTATGTTTTATATTATATTATGTTTCATTTATTATGTTTAGTCTGATTTATTACTATTTTTCATCTCTTCGGAAGTTTCGTGATCTCATATTTCCAAAATTTGTGTGGTTTGCTAATAAAACTAAAGCTCTTAGAGGTGCATTTCTTTCTCATTTATTGAGCCAAGTCTGTAAAGAGGATTTTTTAATGAAAGGAAAAAAATAGTAATCAGACGAGGTAATATCTAAAGATTAAGGAGGAAAAAGTAGAATGTTCCAATCAAATTCTATTTATAAATGTTATTATTACATATAGAGCACGAATGAAACTTTTAAAACAACTTAATATATTTCATCACGTTTAATTATTGTAAAAGCAATTCTAAACAGACAAATTGTTCAAACTTTTGTGTTATGTAACAAAATATAATCACTCTTTAATAAACTGTTCTATTTAGGAAACAAAACACAATTATTTTTATTACCTAGGTTTTTAAACACATGATTATAGTTTTTTGTTAATAATTTCTCCGATAATCCGTTTGTATAAAATAATTTTTGATTAGTTGCAAGCAGAAGTCTACTTAAGGTAGCCATTTTGCTTTTTCACTATAAAATGAAGTGTGTCATTTAGTTACTGGCAAGTATCGTGACTCTACTTTATCGATACTATCCTTCTTAAACCGCGAAATTTTGAATATGACTGAAACTTTAATATAAAGACCTTAAATATATTTGAATGTTAAAACAATTATACAGATTGCATCCAATAATTATATCTTATCTTAAATATCTAGATTCGAAAGGAATCATCTTGCATTATAAAATATTTTATTAAAAAAGAATTATGTTGAAAATCTGTTTTTAAATGTGATTTGAATGACAAATTAAAAAAAAAAAATTAACATGAAGCTTTTGCGACGCTATGTAATATAAACGTACATTTAGAGTCAATGAAGTTGGGTTAAGTGAGTAGTTGAACTCGAGAAACGATTCTAAATTACAAACACTCGTGAATGTTCACGATCGTATTTGAAAACAAAAACTAACAATGGAAAATGGAATGATAATTAGTTAAAAGAGAATAGAAAGATTGAATTTCATTAATAAATTTCATTAATATTTCTACGAAATTTTCTTCGTAGTCTAAATATACTCAATTTAGTATTTAATATGCTAATAGTATACTAATAATAGTAATATTATTGGATTTTGTATCATAGATTATATGTACCAAGTAATATGGTACTAAGTATTAGTACCAAGTAAAATTTTTAAATAATATTATTATTTTTACATCTAATAAGTGTTAATTAGTTTGGAAAGAATAATAACATTTCAACAACTATATGCAATTGAATTTATGCATGATTCTTATTGAAGTAAATATAGTATCAATACGAATAAGTTAATAAATACGAATAATAAATAAATAATACTGATATTAATCTGATCAAATTATTGAAAATATTCGTATTTTCATGTTCAACATATCAATCAATATCCTACATACAACGCGGTATTTGCTAGTGCTATCGAATGAACTAGTAATTGCGCAGGAACATTAAGAGTATATTGCGATAATAATTAATTACTTTAAATATCTATCACTTTGGCGGAAAGATAATAAAGATGTATACCAATGAATTAACTGTTCACACATAAATCATACGAACGCAGATTGGCAGACACGATACATTTACACCGAATCTCTTATTATCTGTATGGTCTAGCAAAGTGTCGTTTAAGAACTATTCAATCGACGATATTACGATTTACAATCTTTGCGAGACACGTTCCACGGCTTTTTATCTTTCCTGTGGCGCTATTTCTTAGAAAAAAAAGCGTATCTACATTTTTTTCTCCTCGCTGATTAAAGCTACAAAAATGCATTACTCGATTATTACGATGGAACACGCGTAATAAATAAAGAAAACAAAAAAAGATGTCACGTCGTAATAAATCAAATAGATCGCGACGATAAGATCCGATGGAAAATTCAATGGAAATTTATTATTGTTTTAAACGACGTTTACTATTTTGGATGTTCGAAGTGGAACGTACACCTACTGATTCCACCAAGAAGGCGACCCTGGAAAAATGGGTTAAAGACCGCGATGCCTTTCCCCGTAATGTCTTTCGAGTTGTTTCGAGATATTCGGTCGTTTCGCGTACGCCCCTTCTACCCAGCTTCACAAAGATGTAAACCTATGCAGAATTTATGTATACGGTGCACCATACATCCAACGAACCCCTCTCGCCGTCCACGTGATTCACACGCCTTCATGCTCGTTGCTGTTTTCGTAATACATGCTGCCGTACACGTGAACTAGTACGTGCTCTTACATCCGACAGCTCGAGAGAGATCCTCGATTGCTGCCTCATTTCTAGATAAATAACGATCTCGCCAAAATACAAATCGGACGACAAGTCCTATTCGATTATCACAGTGAAAATATTCAACGCGGAACTGCGTTTCGTAGAATGGTACTAACGTTGATTTGTAAATAAAAGTTGAAACGGATCGACAAATGATTTGCAGCATTCGAATCGGCTCACGTCATCAGCCTGGGAATTGCCCATCGATCGAACGTTGTTTCAAGCGAGAATAGGTCATCGTCCAAGAGTACTTTATGTCATGAAGATTCATTCGCTGGCCTACCCGTGCTATATCAATCGGAGCTCCATGCTTTTTATGCACGTAAGCAACCCCTAAATTGCTTGCTTTGTCGCCAGCAATATACCGGCATAGAAAACAGGCATCACCGGGAAGAGACAGACGATCGACCGCGAGGCAAGCGTTCCCAGTTCCCAGCCTTTAGTTGCGTACCAACCATCGCGCACTGCACGTCGCGCGGCGTTCGTACCCGGACGAACGAGGCTTTTGCTCCATTCCACTGACAGCAGAGAGAAAGAGAGAGAAAGAGCGGAGAAGAACATCGTAACTAAAAAAGTAAAAGATCACAAGAAGAGGCGTTTTCGTCCGAGTTTCGCGAAAAAATTTCCTTCTGATCTCGAGACCTGATTCGACCACTTTATCGAGGCTTCAGGATCGAATATAAAATCAAAAAAAAAAAAAAAAAAAAA